GTTTAGAGACTGGGATTCAATACAATCCTTTCAACCCTCATTATTATGCCCAGTCCTTTTACTTTGTTTTCTTTCTTTTCCTTTTCTGTTATTTTGTAAGCCTCTGATGTCTGTGAAATCTTAGGAGGGGGACATAGTGATTGGACCTGGTTTGGAAATTGTCCTTAGGAAGTCATTACAACGAGGTCAGTGATAAAGGCATAGGACTCTCTTCTAGGATATCTCCTAATTGAGGTGTGTGAGATGCACAATATTTCCAGTTCCTTCTGTCTGTCTTCTATACCCAATGGGTGGAGTTTTGCTAAGACCTGGACGTGGGAAGTCTCTGACAACTATTTCCCTAACTCTCATTTAATTCTTTTCCATTTTGCTTGTCAAGTTATCCTTCCCTCAAAGTTCTCTTTCTCAGTCCTTCCTCCAATTAAATACCCATAGTTAATTGTTTCAATTCTGCCAGAATTTCTTCATTTTGTCTATTCTGATCATACATCTACTCTGCAAATGGAGAAGATACTGCAGCAATCACCTGAGTAAAATATATTTTGAAAGTATAAACTGTTAGCATTTTCCTTTTTTAAAAGTCAAAAATGTTTGTTACTGATGAATTTTCTGTAATCACTGGGAAGAACTTCAGTTATTTCAAGCGAAATAACTCAAGCTTCATCTTTACCAAGGACTTGGTGAAAGGCAGGAGAGCAGTTTATTAAATTTGCAGATGACAGAGATCTAGGAGGGTTTGATAAAACATGCCATAAGAAACTTAGGGCACTACACAATCTTGAAAGACTCAAGGATGGCATTGAATCCAATTACTAAAAACTTACTAGTGATAAATGTACTCTTCACTCTTTTTCTGCTCCCCCCGAGCTGTTAGTGACTTCCTCCACATCATATTTTGTCATCATGTCTCTAATTTAATGAACTTTTTGCTATATGGACACGTTTCCTCTGCTAGCTAGAATGGAACGCCTTTGAGGACTTTTTTTTCAATTTTGTCTCTAAACCCACATGACTTGCGAATGCCTGAACTCTAGTAGGGGCCTCATAAATGCTTCTAAGTTGATTGAAATCACTTGTTAATCATTTCACTCTCTGCTCATGGGGAACTCTAGTTTCTGTCTTTCAGTTTACTACATTGTAAGCCTGAGATTATTTAGCTTCTCTTCCTCGTTCTCATTGTCTTCATTACAGATTTTGACACTGTTGTTCCCTCTCTCTTTCTGGGTGTTCTCTCATCTCCAGGTTTTGGGGAGCAGTTTTCCCCGGTTCTCCTCCTCCTTTTCCTACTGCTCCTTCTCTTTCTCCTTTACTGGAATCTCTTCTGATCACACTGTCTACTACAAGTGCTCCAAAGAGATCTGTCTCTAACCCACTCTATTACTTCACTTGGTTAACTTAATATCTCATATAATTTATGCAGGTGATTCTCAACTATATCCATCCTAGTCCAAACTCTACTGATCTCACATCTCGTATTACCAACTGCCTTTATTTTTTAATGAGTTTATTTATTTAAATTTTCAATATTCACTTCCATAACTTTTGGAGTTTTAAATTTTCTCCGCCACCCTTCCCTCAGCCCTCCCCAAAATGGCACGCAATCTGATATAGGCTCTACATATACATGCCTATTAAACATATTTTCATATTTGTCATGTTTTGTAAAAAAGAATTAGAACCAATGAGAGGAAGCACAAGAAGGAAGAAACAAAACAAAAAGAAGAAAAAAAAAGAGCAAATAGTATGTGTCAATCTACAATCAGACTCCATAGTTCTTTCTCTGGATGTGGATAGCATTTTCTACCATGATTCTTTTGGAGATGGCTTAGATCTTTGTATTGCTCAGAAGAACTAAGTCTATTAAGGTTAACATTGCACAATGTGGCTGTTACTGTGCACAATATTCTCCTAGCTCTGCTCACTTCACTCACCATCAGTACATACAAGTCTTTCCAGGTTTTCTGAAGTCATCCTACTCATCATTTCTTATAGCATAATAGAATTCCATTATATTCATATACCACCATTTGTTCAGCCATTCCCCAGTTGAAGGGCATCTCCTCAATTTCCAATTCTTTGCCACCACAGAAAGAGCTCCTAGAAATATTTTCTACATGTGGGTCCTTTTCTCATTTGTATGATCTATTTGAGATACAGACCTAGAAGTGCTATTCCTGGGTCAAAGGAGATGCACATATTTTTATAGCCCTTTGGGCATAGTTCCAAAGTGCTCTCCAAAATGGTTAGATCAGTGCACAACTCCACCAACAATACATTAGTATTACAATTTCCTCACATCTTCTCCAACATTTATCATTTTTCTGTTTTGTCATTTTAGCCAATCTGATAGGTATGATGTGGTTCCTCAGAGTTTTTTGATTTGCATTTCTCTAATCAATAGTGATTTAGAGCATTTTTTCGTATGGCTATGGATAGCTTTAATTTCTTCCTCTGAAAACTGCCTATTCATATCCTTTGACCATTTATCAGTTGGGGAATGATTTATATTCTTATAAATTTGACTTAGTTCTCTGTATACTTTAAAAATGATGCCTTTATCAGAGTCCTGGTTGTAAAAATTATTTCCCAATTTTCTGCTTCCCTCCTAATCTTGGTTGCAATGACTTTGTGCAAAATCTTTTCAATTTAATGTAATCAAAATTATCCATTTTGCATTTCAGAATGTTCTCTGTCTCTTGTTTGGTCACAAATTCTTCCCTTCTCTGTAAATCTGACAGGAAAACTATTCCTTTCTCTCTCTGCTTGCTTATGGTATCAACCTTCATATCTAAATCATGTACCTCTTTTTACCTACAGTGTAAGATTTTGCTCTATTCCTAGTTCCTATCATATCATTTCCCAGTTTTTCCAGTAGTTTTTGTCAGATAGTAACTTCTTATCCCAGAAGCTGGGGTCTTTGGGTTTATCAAACAGCAGATTACTATAGTCATTGACTACTGTGTGTTGTTTACCTATCCTATTCCACTGATCCACCACTCTATTTCTCAACCAGTACTAAGTAGTTTTAATGATTGCTACTCTATAACACAATTTAAGATCTGGTATGGCTAGGCCATGTTCCCTAGCATTTCTTTTCATTAGTTACCTTGATGTTCTGGACCTTTTGTTCTTCCAGATGAATTTTATCATTTTTTTCTACACTACAAAATGATTTTTGGTAAGTTGATTAGTATACTATTGAATCAGTAAATTAATTTAGGTAGAATTGTCTTTTTTATTATATTACCTCAGATTACTCATGCATGTTTTTCCAGAAGTCTATCATATCTAACTTTTCTAAAATTATATTCACCTCCTTAACTTCTTTCTTGTTTCCTTTGTGGTTTGATTTATCTAGTTCAGAGAGGGAGAGGTTCAAGTCCCCCCCCCCCCCGGTATAGTTTTGCTCTCTATTTATTCCTACAACTCCCTAATCTTCTCTTCTAAGAATTTAGATGCTATACTACTTGCATATACATTTTGTAATGATATTACTTCATTGTCTATGGTGTCTTTTAGCAAGATATAGTTTCTTTCCTTATCTCATTTAATAAAATCGATTTTTGTTTTTGCTTTTCTGGGATCAGGATTCCTACCCCTGCCTTTTTTTTTTTTACTTCAGCTGAAGCATAATATATTCTACTCCAGCCTTTTACCTTTACCCTGTGTGTATCCCTGTATCAAATTTATTTTGTAAACAACATATTGTAGGATTATAGTTTTTAATAGATTCTGCTATCCACTTTGATTTTATGGGAGACACCAACTACTTTTTAGACAAAGGACCAGTGAACAGCTTAACTCTTTTGCCCCTAAAATCTTGCCCTCTTACTTTCCCTATTACTGTCATGGGCAAAACCATCCTCTTATGCCCTCTGGCTCCCAGCTTTGGAGGTATTCTACATTCTTCTCTATCTCTCTTTCCACATATCCAAGTTGTTGCCAAGAACTGTCAACTTCAGCTTGGCATTGTCTCTTAAATCCATAGCTCCCTACCTCTCTGTATGTTTGTCTGTCTGCTCCTTTCTCTGTCTCACTCTGTCTCTTTCTTTCCTTCTCTGTCTATCTTTCTCTTTCTGTCTCTCTCTGCCTTTCTGTTTGCACACATTTTTTCCCATTAAGATGTGGTCTCCTTAAGGATAGGAATTTTTTTGTTGCTTTTTGTATCATTATTGTTTAGCACAGTACCTAGCACATAGTAAGTGCTTTAGTAAGTGTTGATTGATTGATTCCCTGGTTCTCAGTTATCCAGCTTCTAAGAGAGCAATATTGTTACCTTACCTGAATAGGACAGGAGGATGAACTACAAGACCAATAAACATGCTCTGAAATTCTAAATTTGGGAATCTTCCTGTTTTAGCTCAGGTAGTTATTTCAGCAAGGATGAGATCAATACCTCTCCTTGAATCTTTCAATTTTATCCCTTGCATTATCCTGAAAATCCTACATTTGAAATGCATGGATTCCATCTTCACCCCAACATAGAATCTTAAAAATCTTTACAACATATCTAGGATCTATGTTATAAATACACTTCTCTATTTCTAGCTAATATGTTTTGCATGGTCAAGGGGGCCATTAAATATGTCTCCAAATTGCACGTTCAGAATTGGAAGCTCCTCTTTCTATATTTGCATAAGACAGAAAATCAGATGGCTTGATTTGTTCAGTTCTATCCATATGCCCCACACATCCTAATGTCTAAAGCACATCATCATTTGTGTGTGTGTGTGTGTGTGTGTGTGCGTGTGTGTGTGTTCTTGAAAGCACTTTGGAGCATATTTAGTTAAAATCTCTCATTTTTGAGATGTGGATAATGACATTCAGGTATGTGATTCATGTATTTGACTTGCCCAGGGCCACATTGTTAGTAAATATTAGTGGCAAGATTTAACAGAGGAGTTCCTGACTCCATGTCCAACAGTCCATCCACTATGACAACTTGTTCTTTCTGCACACATAGAGTTTACCTTGTTCTTTATATTTTTCTCTCACTTTAGTACATTGAGCAAACATTACCAACATATCCTCGCTTTCCAGTTTGCTGTGGATGAAATCAACAAGAACCCTGATTTGCTACCAAACATAACCTTGGGATTCCAGTTGCTCAATAACTTCCATCTAAACAGTCTAGCTGTGGAGAACTCCTTGATATGGCTGTCAGGGAGGGGTCCAACTGTCCCTAACTATAGCTGTGGCAGGCAGCCCAATTCAGTGGCTGTCATTGGAGGGATGTCATCCACATTGTCCATGGTCATAGCCACCATTTAAAAACTCTATAAAGTTCCACAGGTAAGGGAACCCAATACTGTCACTCATTTTTATCCAATGTGTTCTTTGTATTTAAAACAGCAAATCCATTCTAATCTATTCTGATGCAGTGGCAGTGAGTCAATAAACAAGGAGCAAGAAGTTCTAGGTACTGTTCTGACCAAAGAACACACAAAAAAGGGCAAAACAGTCCCTTCCATCACGGAACTTACTCTGTCCTGTAGGTGAGTTGGTGCTATATTGGTTTAACTCTGATGATTTTGAACCAAGTGAAAATCTGCCCAATTGATGGTCACTACATCCCCTACCAGGAGTTTCTATTTGTATAGAACTCAGAAGATTTTAGAGGAAAGAAAGATTTCTCTTTTCCTCACCTCAGAAAATTCCCAAGGAAAGAGCTGAATAAAAAAGATGAATCTCTAGTCCTTTCCTTTAGCTGTCTGTGCTCACAGGCATCATCAAATTCTGTGTTTAGAGTGATCTTCCAACTTCACCTGAGAATTTGCCACCTTCCTGCATCTGTGCCTGATTTGCAAAATATATGATGTCCCTTCAGAACAGAAATAAATTACATATTCAAATGAAATTATTGCTAAGAAATCATTTTTAGCAAGTGAATGTAAATAGCAATTATTTCTATTTTGCCCAGAAATCCTCACTTTTCTTCCCCTCCTACATCTATTTTTATTTTTAACTAGGTAAAGAGGTCATTCTCTGCCTCATTTGTTACTAAGCTTTAAACACTGAATAGGCATTGCCCCATGCAAACTGAAACCTTTTAAGAACCTTAGCTTGAAAAGGCTAAGGTCCCCCACTGCATCCAGGACAGATCCATTCATCCTGATCTGCATCTCCCCACTGTACCCAGATAGCTGTGGAGTAGAAAGTGAGACTGGTTACTTCGCACAGCTCTCAATAACTTAAATCCAATTCACTTCCATGTCAGGGAATCGCCTCCCTGATGTCATGGTCCTCTTTGAGAATGAATAAACCAACAACAGCAGCACTGTGGTACACGCTGGGCATAGGGACATACTTACTGTAATTGCAGTTCTTGACCTCACAAACCTTATGCCCTGGTTGTCCTAGAGGACAGCACATCAAAGGAAGCTTAAATGCAGGGATTTTAACATATAGGTACTTGTGAGGAGAATGATGGAGAAGAATTCTGGAAAATTAGGTGTAAGAGGTTCTAGGAGGAGCTGACCTATCAGTGGTAGTGGTGACAGAGGCAAACTGACCTTCCAGGATGAGAAGGCTCTTTAGTGGGAGGTCTCCTGTTGAGGTCCACAAGGTATCCAGTTGGGAGGATAAAGAGGACAGCTACTATGAGTTCAGTAGAGATCTTGCCAAAAGGCCAGGAAGGGTTGAGAGAAATATTGGTCCTTGGTATGAATCACTTCCTAAGAAGTTCTGAATCATCCAGGCCCAAAATCTTCCAAAGTTTCACAGGTTGAAATGGTGGTTTTCAGAAAAAGTCTCTTTATGCTTGATGGACCTAGTTTCATTGGTCACTCCCCTTCACCCTCCATTAAATTCAGGCACACAATGAAATCAGTTCTGGAAATTCTTATGTTCTCAAAGAAGAACCAGGAAGCCTGTCAATTCTTCATGTATTTAAACATATTGCTTCTTTCATTTGTTTTTCTTTCTTTAACATTCGTGAATAAGTATCGAGATAGAGCATAGAATAATTTTTGAAGTTTTAAGCATTGAAAAGTTAAAAGTTTCATCATTGGTCCTTTTACCCCTAGAGTTGGTAACAGAGACAACAGTAGTAGCCAGGCCACATCTGAGAGCTAATCCAGCAGTGCTTTGACTTGTTAACCAAGAAGAGAACCACTTCAAAGAGTTAGCTGATCTAAGGAAGGGAATCATCAGTCCAAAAGTGTTTTGTACCCAAAAATATTCCTTCTCCTCATTCCTTTAAAATATTCCTTCTCACCACAAAGTGGCCTTTTTATCCTGGAACTTCCCACAATCCTTAAAGTCCTCTTGACCATTGGAGAGTTCCTGCCAGACCCTCATTTTGAGAAAGGTCTCCAGGTCAACCATCCTTCGTGATCTCAGCTCTGCTTCTGAATCTCTGGATTTGCACATTATGCCCAACACCCAAGAGGACCTACTCCCTGCTCCTCTTCTCATTTTTCTGTGCTTTTGTAGAGGTTATCTATCCACCATTATATGATCAGCTACCTAAGGGCATTGACTCTTTTTATTTTTTTTTTGTAGTTGTCCTAAGATCTGGGCACAGTGCCAGGCAAAAAGCAAGCCTTTTAACAAATGTGTGTTGACTTTTTAGCAATTCTACAGATTGATTTCTGGTTGTTTCAACCACAAATTGTAATTCTTCATGTGGGTCCCCTTTCTTATGCTCTCATGCAGCAAGATGACAAATCCTACACCTAAATATGTTCCAGTTGTCTTTACGTAATGTGATGTTGTGGGGAGAGGGCTGTTCACACACACTGTCTGCTTCTAACAATCCAACACTTGGAACTATGGAAACAAACACGGTGAGTTTTTACTCTTCTAAAGGAAAGACTGAGGATACAGAAGTGTTTCTGCAAACAGAAGGTTTGTCAAGGAGTCACTCCCTGGCTCCAGCAGTTGGTGTACTGATTCATGGGTCAATTTTCTGTTTATTTGGTTCAGGCAGTATGCTGCCCTCATGTTCTTGAGCTATGTTGGAATCAGCTGCTTTGGCTCTGGACTTTGGTGTTCTCTTTCATAGACTGTATTGCCACAGGACCTCTAAGGATTCATCCAATTATTTGAATCTCATCATGTTGTAAGTTGTTCAATTACATTTCTAGACCCTCATTCGCTGAAGATCAGGGTAACCTCAGGTACCATATGCTCAGAGACACATGGCAGTATATAGGGTGAGGCAGGGGAGAACGGCCACTTCTTCACAATCCTCCTCCATCATTACGTTCTTAGTCAACCTCTCCCATTTCCAAATCTGATTGACTTTGATCTCTGGTGTCCTGGGTCTAGTATTTCTTCTCCAGTGATTCTATCTTCTTCTGAAGCTACTCTCTTGACAAGAAATTATAGCAGTTATCATCCTCATACTCCACAGTCATGTTCCTGGTAAGTGTATCTCCCAGTTTTCTCTGTCTTCCATTGGCATTTTCTTTATACATGAAACCTGTCACTCTGTTACTCTATGTCACAAATTAGTTCTCCTTTTCTCTTTGCACTCTTTTTGGTGCACGTATCCACACCATATTTGTATAGCAAATAGATTTTGATAGTACCCTCTCTTTGCCTATATTTCCAAACACTTTATAACATGTTGGAATTAATTGTTCTTCAGATAATTGATAGGAATTCACTTATGAATCCCTCTTGCCCTGGTAATTTTTTCTTAGGAAGTTCATTGATCCTTATTCCATATATTTTTAAAGATATGGTTACTTAAGTATTCTGTTTCCCTTTTTTTAATCAGGGAATTTATGCTTTTTTGTAAATTGTCAACCATTTTAGCCAGATTGCCACGTTTTTTGGCAAATGTTTTGGGAAATTAGCTTCTTAAAATTGGTTTAGTTTTCAGCATTTAAGTGTTGAATTCACCCCTTTAATTTTTGATACTGATAATTTGCTTTGCTTTTTTTAATCAGATTAACCAATTGTTAATGTATTTTATTGTTTCTTTTAACAAAACTAGTCTTTTGTTTTATATATTAATTTAATGGTTTTCTTACTTCCAATTTTGTTAATATCTCCTTTGTTTTTCAGGTTTTCCAATTTGGTGTTTAATTGGTCATTTTGAGTTTGTTGTATTTCTAGGGTTTTTTTTTTAATAGCTTCATGTCCAGTTCATTGATCTGCTCTTTCTCTGTAATATTGATGAAAGCATTTCTGGACAAACTGTAATTTCCTTTAAGTACTGATTTGGCAGTATCTCATAAATTTTGGATTGTTTTCTCATTATTATCATTCTTTTTAATCAAATTATTGATTGTCTCTATGATTCATTCTTTTTCTCACTTATTTAGTATTAGATAATTTAACTTCCAATTAATATTTAATCTATCTTTCCATGGCCCTTTGTTGAATAAGATTTTTATTGAATTATGATCTGAAAAGCATACCTTCAATATTTCTGCTTTTCTACATTTGATTGGGAGGTTGTTGTTTTTTTTTTTATGCCATAATACATTGTCACTTTTTGTGTAGCTTCTACTGAGAAAAAAAGTATTTTCCTATCCATTGACACTCAGGTTTCTCCAGACAGCTATTATGTTTAATTTTTCTAAAATTCTATTCACCTTATTTCACGTTTATTTTGTGGTTAGATTTATCTAGTTCTGAGAGTGGAAAGTTGAGGATTCCCACCAGCATAGTTTTATTGTCTATGTACTCCTGAAACTCATATAAGATTTTCTTTAAATATTTGGATGTTATATCATTTGGATGCATATATGTTTGGAATTCATATTACTTCATTATCTATGTTACCTTTTACCAAGATGTTTTTTCCTTCCATATATCCTTTAATTGGATTTAGTTTTGCTTTTCCTCTGAGATCATGATTTTTCCCCATTTATTTCTTTTCTTCAGCTGAAGCATGACAGATTCTACTCCATCTACTTACCTTTACTCTTTGTTTATCTCTCTGCTTCAAATGTGTTTCTTGTAAATAACATGTAGGATTCTGTTTTTTAATCCACTCTGCTTTCCATTTCTGTTTTATGAGTTCATCCCATTTATATTCCCAGTTATGATTATTGTGTCTTTCCCTACATTCTATTTTTACCTGTTTAAATTTTTCCCTTTTTTGGCCATGTCCCTCTTCAAAAGTCTGTTTTGCTTCTGACTACTGCTTCATTTCAAGTGCCCTCCCTTCTTTCACCCCTCTCTTTTTCTCTTATCCACTTCCCATCATACTTCCTCATGACGTAAATTAGATTTATGTACCCATCTGAGTGTTCATGGCATTCCCTCTTTGAGCCAATTAAAAAGAGAGTATGGTTCAAGTCCTGTCTGATCTTGCTATCGATTTTCCCTCAGCT